CTGTCTGACGTCTCCCTTCACCCACTTTTCTGTTGTCCTTCCCCCAGGGAGGAGGTTATATGTAGATCCTTGTAATCGGTTCACCCTTTTCACCCCACCCTCCCTCCACTGTTAAAAACTTTTTTAATATTGTGTTTCTTATTTAAATTAGATTATTTAACTCTGAACTTATTTGAAATTTCTGAATAATGTTTTGTATAAAAAGGCAAGGTTAGGGTAAAAACTTGGCGGTCAAGAACGGATTAATCCGTTTTCAGTTACTTCATATGGAAAAAATTGATTCAGAACTCGACTATATCCCATCTTGACCTCCTAGAACAGATTAGTATCGAGGCCCGGGTTCTACTGTATTTGATTCTTTAAACCACATTATACTTGGGTTTTAAATCTTATCATGTATCTGACTATTTTTAGAAGTAGGAAATAAACATTCTGTTTCCTATCAGAGTGGACAAAAGTTACCTTAGGCTTTTAGATTCTTCCCATACTCAACCTTTCTGTTGCTCCACAATTTGTTCTTACAATAAGTTCTCATTGTTCAATACCTGGACTATTAAGGTGTGTTTGTGGGTTTTTGGGGGGGAGGGGGAGGGGTTGGTTAGGGGTTTTTTGGGTGTGTCAGCTTCACACAACCAAGTCAATAAAAACTGGGTTCACTAATGTATGTTCCTTTCCATCCATCACACCTTTAGTAAACCAAAGAGCCCTGGTGTTTCAGTGGTAAAGCACTCCACTGCTAACTCAAAAGTTGGTTTGAAACCCATCCATCAGCTCCTTGGAAGAAATACCCTGGTGATCCGCTCCCTGGAAGGTGACAGCCCTAGGAAGCCCTGGGGGGCAGTTCTAATCTGTCACCTGAGTTTGTTGTGCATCAAAAGGCACCCATCACCACAGGCGATAAGAGCAAATCTTTCATTTTGTTTGCATGTGAGATCAAGCTCCAGGTTCAGAAAGCCTTTACAGGGAGTGTAGCTGGCTTCTCCTTACCTCCCTGCACTCCACCCTGACTGGAGCTCGCCCAAACCCAGCTGAAGCCCTTGAAACATGTCATTAATGGTGCTTGCTTTTGCGATTGGGCTGTTGACCTAATTTGTGATGAACAAAACCTGGCAGGCGCCCACCCGTCACCCCTCCCAGGGAAAGCGTTAGGCAAAAGTGTTTTGGCAGGCACTGATTGAAGTTTCATAACCACAGCTAATAAAAAACACCCAAGCGATCACGTAGGGCTTTTTGAGAGCAGAAGAGCAATTTAGT